GCATTGTCTTTCTTGAATTCGATATGCATATAAACCACCTGCAGAATCTTCTTAAAATGCATATTTTGTTCAATAGTTCTAGGGTGGAATCCAAAAGTCTGCATTTCTAGAGTAGATTTTTAAAAAGCATGATCCAGTACAGCCACTATGGAAAACAGTATGGAGTTTCCACAAAATATTTTTAAAAAGACCTACCATATCATCCAGCAATTCTTTGTATGGGTGTGTATATGAAGGAAATGAAATTGCTATCTCAAAATGATGTTCATTGTAGCATTATTTGTAAAAACCCCATGTTCATTGCAGCATTATTTGTAAAAGCCAAGACATAGAAACAATATGAGTGTTCATCAATGGATGACTGAATAAAGAAAATTTGGTATACAGCCATGTGCCTCTTAATATAGGGGTATGATCTGAGAAATGTGTTGTTAGGTGATTTTGTCATCGTGTGAACATTATATATAGAGTGTATTACACAAACCTAGATGGGATAGCATAGGCTATATGGTACACACCTTGGCTACATGGTATAACCTATTGCTCCTAGGCTACAAACCTACAACATTTTACTGTACAAAATAACACAAGATTAAATCAAGCATAAGAGAAAATGATGCAATCAAGAGATGCAGTCAACACAAAATGTATGAGGCTGCTACTGGCATAACACGTCATACTGATTTACAACAAACATTTTTATAAGTAGAAAGAGTACACTCTGAAATAATGATTAAAAACTATAGTACATAAATCAGTTACCTAATCATTTATTATCATCAAGTATTATGTACTGTACACAATTGTATGTGCTATACTTTTATACAACGGGCAGTGCAATTGTTTTGTTTACACCAGCATCAACACAAACATGTAAATGATGCATTGCCCTATAACATTATAACAGCTATGACATCACTAGGTTATAGGAATTTTTTAGCTTCATTATAATCTTATGGGACCACCATTGTATATGTGGTCCATCAATGACCAAAATGTCATTGTGTGGCACATGTCTGTATATATACAATGGAGTATTTTTCTGCCATAAAAATAAGGAAATCCTGCCATTTGTGATAACATGGATGAACCTGGAGGGCATTATGCTAAGTGAAATAAGTCAGACAAAGACAAGTATCACATGATCTCACTTATATGTGGAATCTAAAAAAAATTGTTTTTCTACACATTAGCAATGATAAGAAAATTAAGAAAACAATTAATTTATGATATCAAAAATAGTAAAATGCTTAGGAACAAATTTAACCAAGGAGATAAATGATTTGTACATTGACAACTATAAAACATTACCGTACGAAATGAAAGAGGACACAAATAAGTAGAAAGACATCCTATGTCCGTGGACTGGAAGACTTAACATTATTTAAGATGACAATATTACTGGAAGTGATCTACAGATTCAATGCAATCTTCATCAAAATCCCAGTGACATTTTTTGCGTAAATAGGAAAATCCATCCTAAAATTAGTATGGAATCTCAAGGGACCCCAAATAGCAAAAACAATCTTGAAAAATAGCAAGTTTAGAAGACTCACACTTCCTGATTTCTAAGTATATTATAAACCTACAGTTATCAAAACAGTGTGTTACTAGAATAAAATAGACCTATTAGCCAATCAAATAGAACAGAAATCTCAGAAATAAACCCTCACATATATGATGAAATTATATGCAACAAAAATGCAAAGATCATTCAAAGGAGAAAAGACAGTCTTTTCAACAAATGATGCTGAAAATACTGGATATCCACATATGAAAGAATGAAGTCAGACCCTTTCTCTTACATCATATAAAAACATTAACTCAAAATATATCAAAGACCTAAATATAAGTGCTAAAGCTGTCAAACTTTTAGAAGAAAAATAGGGGAAAACATTATGACTTTGAATTTGGCATTGATCTCTTAGCTGTGACACAAAAAGCCCAGGCAACAAAAGAGAAAACATAGATAAATTTGACTTCGTTGAAATTCAAAACTTTTGTACATCAAAGAATACTATCAAGAGACAACCCACTGAATGGGAGGAAAATATTTGCAAATTCTATATCTGATAAGGGTTTAATATCCAGAATATATAAAAAAACTTCTATAAGTCTACTATTTTAAAAAATGAAAAAAGAGCAACTGACTTGAATAGACATTTCTGCAAAGAAGACATACAAATGGCCAATAAATACATTAAAAGATATTCAGTATCACTAGTCATTAGAGAAATGCAAATTAAGAGGACAAGGAGATACCGCTTCACATCTATTAGAATTAATATTATCAATAAACCAAAAAATAAGTGTTGGTGAGGATGTGGAGAAATTGGAACTCTTGTGAATTGCTGGTGGAAATGTAAAATGGTATAGCCACTGTGAAAAACAGTATGGCAGTTCCTCAAAAAGTTAAAAATGATCCAGAATTTCCAGTTCAGGGTATATATGCAAAATATTTGAAAACAAAGACTCAGATAGATTCTCGTACTCCAATGTTCATAGCAGCAGTAGTCACAATTTCCAAAAAGTGGAAACAATACAAATGTCCATCAGCAGATGAATGAAATGTGTTAATATACACAATGGAATAGTATTAGCCTTAAAAAAACAATGAAATTCTGATACATGCTACATCATGGATGAAACTTGAAAACATTATGCTAAGTGAAGTAAGCCTGACCCCCAAAAGGACAAATATTGTTTGATTCTACTTACCTAAGGTATCTAGAATAGGCAAATTCATAGAGACAAAGTAGAATAGTGGTTACCAGGGACTGGGGAGAGGAGGGAATAGGAAGTTACTGTTTAATGGGTACTAAGTTTCAGTTTGGAATGATAAAAATGTTATGTACTGGTGATGGTTACACAATATTGTGTATACACTTAATGCCACCAAACTGTAACTTAAACATGGTTAAAATGTTAAATTTTTGTTATGTATATTTTTCCACAATTCAAAAAAAAATTAGTTCTCTATTTTTAACAAGGTACCAAGTATTGCTGACGCTGCTGGTCTTGGGACCACACTGAATACAAGGCTGTAGTATAGAGAAAAAAATAAGGCATGTGAGTTCCTCAGGAGAGGGGAACAAATATCTTTTTATTTTTATAAACCAGTAGTTGACTCATTGTATAAGCTCAGTACTTTTTTCAATGAATTCATAAAGGAATAAAGAAATATAATCTAATAGGGTAACTAGGGATTGTAATATAAGGCAGAATATGTATGTCAGTGTACATAATACAAATGTGAGCAAAGTTCAAAAGGAGGTGATTATTTTCAGAGAAGGAGGTGATTATTTTCAGATAGCAACGATGAGGTAATTGAATGAATACCTTGCATATAGTATTACTCAATGATTATTTGTTATGCAGATATGCTGTTGATGTTTTAAAAAGATTTAGTTATAATTACTAATTCAGCTAACTAAAAATATTATGGGACTAGACAATAGAAAACTGGGTACATAAACACTAAATATCTTTAAAAGGAGTGTTTATTTGGCTCAGTGAATTTTCTTTGCTCACCTTGTTTCTCAAGTGCAGTATGACATGAAGAACACAGTGTGCTTTAACTGGAAATTCATCATCATAATCAGATATTACAGCGTGATCAGAAAATAAGCTTGGTAAAGCACAGTTATGAAATTGCAATCAGTTATTTGTTGAGAAGAGAAACCACACATGATTTTGATGTAAATGAACAGATCATGCACTTATCAAGGTGAGCCTCAATTTTTTATTTCTTTTTATGAATTTTATTATATAATCATTAATTTCTATAAAGTCCAAATGATTGATAGAGTCCATTTTATTACTTTTCTTATACATAATGTCAAAAAACTGGAAATGGTATTAAGTCAAAATAGCAATTGCAAAGATTTCCTATGTGGAGTTATGACCATTAATTCCTGAGAAAGAGAAAAAGGAAGAATATACCAATGTCTTCGTATCATGCCTTCTTTCCGAGGAGCCAAAAACCTACCCATTAGGATTCATTTCTTCATGGAGAAGCTTTCTATTTCAAAGCATATCATTTTGTTTTGTTGTTTTGTTTTGTTTCAGGTGTTCAGGTAGTATTTAATTAATTCATAATTCTACTCAAGTCTAAATTCATATTTTTTATAATTATCTTACTATAGGTAGTAGATTATGTGGCCTACCAAATAAGATTGAGTCAAAACATCTCTATATATTTGCAATGAAATGAGAATTTATGTAAATAACTGTGACCCTAAGACAAGCTAAGATTCTGAAGTGTTATCCAAAGGAAAACCACATTATGCTTAAGATAATTTTAATGATGAGTGGGTTTTCAAAATGTTCTAATTTTTTGATAACTATTAATTTATATATGGTAGAAACTATAACTTGCTTATGTTTGGTGAACTAAGAAGCCCTACTCTATCAAACTGCTGGCTAACAGAAACTACTGCATTAATTTTTTACAGAGAAAACTAAGCATGAGATAGTTTAAGGGTTTTATCAATTACAATTAAATCAGTGGCAGAGTCCTAAATCCAGTGTCCTAAAGAACCATGCATTGTCATGGAATCTGGCTTTCCTTCTTTTATTACATTTCCAGAATTTTCATTAGCTCAAATGTAAGCCCAGCATGAAACAAAGAAGTTATAAATTCAATGATAAAATCTGAAAGGTGAGCTACCTACCCAGAAACTTCAGTTGCAGTGCAGGGTAAGGAGACAGGATGAAATTCAGAAGTATGATTTTTCAGAAGCTATTAGGGATGTAAAGAATGATTTTTGTTGGTTCCAGTCAAGATAGCAGGGTAGCTTTTTTTCACTCAGCATAATTATTTTATTACTTTTGTGTAAACTATCTGTGCCTCTATGCCTCATTTATATTATTCTCCAAGTGCATAATACAGTTACATCAAGCAAAAAAATAAAGAATTCATATTAACTAAGTGATAAAATTTCACATAGTCTTGATATATTTGTCAATATTTTATTTCAGAAGAATTTAATTGTAAAAAAATGGCAAATTCTGAAAGAACTGAAGAGATGCAAGCAAATTTTCAGAGAAATGGGTAAGCCTGGCCTAAATTCTACAAAAAGTGTTCTGCAACTTTAAATATACCTTATCCTTTTCACAGCTGTAGTAAAAAGTTCATAATTTTTTTCCAAAAATAGTAATGCTATTTGCATTTTGCTGGACTCATTTCACCATAATTAGTGTTACAACTGGTTTAATAGTAATTTTAGGAAGTATAATAGTTACAGGATTTATTGGCTTGTATTTCCCGTATCTCCTCTTCCGAATTTCTTATAGCTTATCAATATATAGAGGAAAAATACCTGAATATTTCCATTTCAATTCTCTATGGATCCTTTATTTAACAACAACAAAAAAAGTGGATTCTAATTATTTTTTTCACTGAATGGATGTCTGTGTGCGTATGTCTATTATAAAAATTTCCCAAACTTATAATTCATTAATTTAGAGATCAAAAATGGACATGGTTTAAAATCTATTTTATTTCCACTTTTACCGTAATAATTGTGTTATATTTTAATATATGAACTATGAAATTTAAGCAGACCACTGTAGATCATTTGGTTCATTAATGCAAGGCTGCAGTAGCCAGAAGGGGAGATCCCACTGTACCTGCCCATGTACTTTTCTTCACTTTCAATTCTGGTGGAAAAGAGACTTTTAAAAGACTACCTGAGGCTTCTCAGAAAGGTCAAGCAGAAATGTTTTCATGAAATAAACTTTGTCAAAAGAGAGCTTACTGAGTCTTAGGCTTCAAAATCTACATTTCTGGAGGGGGAAGGGCTTTACAATCTTAAAGCGCTTTTTGTCATCCATACTCATCTCAGAGCAAATTGGCCCAGTACATAAGTAAATTATTAACCTCGGATGGAATAAAATTAAGTGACTTGTCATTTATCAAAGTTATGGAACAATATGTTAAAAAGCTGGAGAGAAGAGTCAGAAATCCTTCTATGATACCTTTTTTAGAAAACTTAAGCTGATCCTCTCCAGTCTTCTCTTAATGTTTAAGAATCATGTGTGTATTTAATTAACAGATTTCCCTGAAAGAAACAGACAAAATTTACACTTTTCATTTGGACTTTGAAATGAGAGCTACAAAATAAAATTTTTAGAGGGATACAAAATTCATATACATTTGTTTAACGTGCACTTAATAAAACTTTCACTTAAAGCTCACAATTGCTCTTGGGCAATTGTTATACAGCGTTAAAAATTCTAATCTATTAGGACGACTACTATTAAAAATAACAGTAAAATGAAACGAAAAATAACAAGTATTGGTGAGGATGTGGAGAAACTCCTTGTGCATGGTTAGTGGGAATGTAAAATGATGCAACTGCTATGGAAAACAGTATGATGATTTCTTAAGGTGTTAAAAATAGAATTATCATGTGATCCAGAAATTTCACTCTTGGTTATATACCCCACAAAAAATGAAAGCAGGATTGAAGAGATATTTGTACACCTATATACATAGCAGTGTTTTTCCACCATAGCCAAAAAGTGGAAGCAACCCAAGAGTCCATTGATTGAGGAATGGATGAATGGATTAAAAAAAAAAAAAAAGTGGTATATACATACAATTTAATAATACCCTTAAAACAGAGGAAAATTCTGATATTTGCTACCTCACGGATGAACCCTGAAGGTATTATGCTAAGTGACATAAGCACATCAGAAAAAGACAAAATAAGATATGATTCTACACCTAGAATAGTCAGATTCATAGAGACAGCAAATAGAATGGTAGTTGCCAGAGGGTGACAGAGTTCAGTTTTTTAAGATTCATGTTATTTTATGGATGGCTGTTGGAGATGATAGCACAACAATATGAATGTACTTAATCCCATGGAACAGTACACTTAAAATTGTTAAGATGGTAAATTCTGTGTGAGGTGTATTTTACCACAATAGCAAAATAAAATTCTACTCCAGAAGTATATCCTCAGTTTTTACTTTAACTAATGTGGATAGCCAGTAGCAACTTACTTTCCCAGGGTTATACTAAAAATTTGTATTGTCTATCCTTAAGTTTGTTTTTAAATTTTCATTTTTGGTATGAATTTGCTACCAAGGGTGAAATTTGATACTTCAGTATAATTATAATTATATAAATGTTGCAAATTATATTCACATTGAAACTTTTCCGTTTTAAACATTTATTTTCCAGAGTACTACAAGAACATCTACCCAAAGTAAGAAACCAAGTTGTTGGACCTATTGAGATAGTAAGTGAAATCATTTAGAATGAATGTGTACCAGAAAATTTTAAGGAATTGTCAGTAGTGCATACAATGATTTTTTGTTTGTAGCTTATATCTATTGGCAGGGGAGATAATTTTTAAAAAAATAATTCAGCAGCATGTTATTTCCAACAGGAAAAAATATATAATCAACCTAACAGCTCTATAGTAAGAGATGAGGGGAAAAAAACAATATGCATACAATGATCCCAATTTTGGGAAAAAAAAAAAAAAGATGCCTGCATGTGATGCCTAAATATTATCAAAGATTATTTCTGAGTGGTGGGGAATTATAAGTTACTTATAAATTTCCATATTTTCCAATAGTAACACATTGATGTAAGTTGCTTTTATTATTTTTAAGATGCTATAAATCCTTTTAAATAAAAGCAATTATCTAAATATTTTGTAAAGCTTGTGCATCAGAAAGTGTGTCAGCACACTTCTTTGGGATTTATGTTCAAGGAATATTTTCAGTAATGTGTTCCCAAAACCTACTCTTAATCTCTAAGTCAGCCTGGCTGTCAACATCACTAGAAATACACATAAAACAGTACTTGTTTTTTCAAAGGTATAAGTTTTTTTAAAAAACTAGGAAATAGCAGCAAGACATGAGAACTTTTATTGAGAAGATAACATACTACTCTGGGGGAAGGTGGAGGAGCAGATACCCTCTTATCTGTAGTACTGAGTGCAATCCTATGGCAGATACTCAATAAATATTTATTAGCTATTGTGTGAATGAATGGAAAAACATTAAATTTTTTCAGTCTCCACTTATAAAGTATCTACTAGTTACTTTTGCTGTTATTCAGATCTAATTTCATTTCAATACCATGATACATTTTACCTTGGCTTCTCTCAGTAAGATAAATAATCCACATTTTCAAGTTCATGTTTTAGTTTTAGAGAAGTGCTGTAGGGACCTACTATAGAATAGAATATAAAGCATTCAGTATTTGACTTTCAGTTATTTCTTTATTTTAACCAGTCTTACAGAATTATTACAGAATATTTTTATTACAGACTCTAATTTATAGAATAGATGTTATCCTGGGTAGAAAAATATCTGAGGAACTTAAAATAAAAATGAAAAATATAATTTATTACATTGGTGAACTAATTTTTACTAGATATTTATTGTTCACTGCACTTAGTTTTATCATTGCTATGATGTTGATAAGCCTAGGGAATTAAAAGTTGAAGATTAATTGTCCATGAAACAAGATATCGTCATTGCAGTCTTTTGAAATATATTAATTTATTCCAGATTCAACCAGATGAAAGGATGTTTCTGATTCATACTCACATCTCACCTGACTTATGTCACAGATCTACAATTTCTGTTGATTTGGCTACCGTATATTTTTCAACAACTTCTTCAAAATACATTGCAAATCCTTAGAATTGGGACTTTTTTTTTACTTTATAAATTCTTGTCCATGATTTACACATTTATTTAGTCTCTTAATTAATTTATAAAATAACATTGACTTGATGGCAAAAACTGTAGGTTGGTTTTTTGTTTTTCATTTTTTACAGCTATAATGTTACCAAGTTTTATTTGCTTTTCTCAGTTCCGCTTTGCTGATGGACTGGACATTACACTCATGATCCTGGGGTTACTGGCATCACTGGTAAATGGAGCCTGTCTTCCTGTAATGTCACTGATTTTAGGAGAAATGAGTGATAATCTCATTAGTGGATGTCTAGTCAAAACCAACACGAGTGAGTATAATATTTACTTTTCTATATTGCTGGAGACTCAAAAGTGTTATATTAAAAAATGGTAAACTCATAATACAGATTATCGTATTGTTAAACAATATCTACATAATATGTACTAAAGTCATTTATTCTTTGCTATTGCTAGGGACTAAAGAAAAATCCATATTTTCAGCATTTTTCAAAAAAAACAAAACCAGCAGGTGTGTGTGTGTGTGTGTGTGTGTGTGTGTGTGTGTGTGTGTGTGTGTGTAGATATATAGAGAAAGACAGAGAGATTGTGATCGATCAATTTTAAGGAATTGGCTCATGCAATAATGGAAGCTGGCAAGTCCAAAATCGGTAGAGTGATCCTGCAGGCTGGAGATTCAGGAGAGAACTGATGTAGTTCACATCCAACGGCCATCTGCTCATCGTATATAAAAAGGTTGTCTGAGACCCAGTATAGCTCAGCTTCTCTCTCTAGGAATTCAAATAATTTTCTGTCAGAAGTGATGATTATATCAGGATTTAATCAAAGGCTTGGGCCAATCCAGTCCATTTATCTGTAATTCATCCTTTAAGAGGAAATCAAGAATGTCTAAATCTTTCAGATAGCTATAGGATTTCATTAATAGTATATCGACATGCATGGCATTGTAGAACATAATGCAGCAAAGAAACCAAAAAGAACATGCAAAAAATTATAGTACTAGAGACAAATATCCTCAATAAAGATAGAGATATCTAGCAGTCAGGTGTACAAAAGAAGTGTTTTTGTACTCCTCACAGTTATAGGTGTCCTTCGTGTTTTGTTACCTTTGTAGTATCCTATATCAGGGTCATGTCCTTCAAAGTGACATTGTTTAGATGTAAATTCTAGCAATTCTCCTGTGTACTAACAGTAAATATCCACAGTCTTTTTTTATCTAGTGGATATTATAAATATTAATAATTCCCTGTTTACATAGAATTAAACATGTAAATTACATGTTTCCCTGAATTACACAGTAGAAAGTATCCTTATAGTTGTTTATTATAACGAGGATAAATGTCTCATTAAAACCTATCTTGAGACCTGAGCCTAGCTTTATCCAATGTACCTCTCTCTGTGCCCTATTTGACTTTAAATACTAATTTATACCCTCTTGTTTTTAACTCAAAGGTTAATCTTTCAAGTGTTCCAATCTTGTTTAAGTTGAACTAAGCCATTGCTTCCATCTCTGTGTCCTTGCATGTGATGATCTCTGTCAACACAGTTACTAATTTTTCGATATTTTAATGATAGAAGCTAAATTAAGGATGTCATTCTGTTTGTTAAATGGATCTGCCAAGTCACTGAGCAAATACTTACTGATTGCCAACTATGTCTCTCTCCAAATGAATGAGTGGAAGAAAGGAGAGAGAAGGAAGGGAGTATTCTAAGGCAATATTCCTTTTGTTAGATCCACTCTGTAATTGATTGCCTTACCAGCTTTAGATAGGTTGGGCCAAACATATCTAATTGATATTGCTTCAAACTTTAATTTTTGTTTAAGGCTTCTTCTGGTTTTTTGGGTTTTTTTAGTCTTGTGGAGTATACCATCAACCTTCTAACAATGATTTTCTGAAAGATAATGGAGGATTATTTGCTCCTACAAATGAAAATATGAATATAGCTATTATTGATCAGGTGCCCATTTTTGTGCCAGCATTGAAATTTTACATATGCTATCTCTATTAATATAAGCTCTGAAATGAGATTATACCATTTTTATGTGATTCTAGTTACCACTTTTAGAAACAATGTTTATTTTCTTTATTACCTCAGTTCATCTCGTTAAAGCTTTTTAGGTTTTGCTACTTCTACTTTGTCAGTTCTGAAATTTGAAATAAACTGCTTTAAAATATTTTCCTGCCATATTCCATAAATAGAATAAGGAAAAAATTATTTTTTTTGCATATAAATAAAGATCATAGACATTATCATATGTGATGTTGTGGTAAAGAGTCATGATGTTTACAATTCATTTTAAATGTTTATTATAGAGGTTTTTAGAAAGAAAATTACTATAACTGTTTTGTATTTTTGGTGAAATCACAACCTTGTTATACTAATTAACGTATGATATACTTTTTACCCAAAGATATATAGAAAACTTTACATAGAAAACTTGTAACCCAAGGATTATTTTAAATACTGTTTTATTATGTTGCTATCCTTATTATACTCAATATATTTCAGTGAAATTCCTTTAAGTTTTTCCCATGACTGCTGCTTCTAGACTCTTTACATTTGTTCTTACTTCTCTTGGCCTTTCTAAATCATTCCCTGGGGTATCTCAAACTGAATTCTAAATGCATCATCTCAGTAGGAAAGGAGAGTTCTGTTATTATTAATTACAGAATTTTTGCCTGAGATCAGAGATGTCCTAAAGAATTCTTTCCAGGTATGAGCTACATAATTAATATTTCCTGATAATTTTTCTTGTATCATGAGTGTTTCTTGAGACTAGAGGTAATTATTTCAAATTTTAAGTTGAAGAATAGAAAATAAGGTGAACATAAACCTGTGTGTAAGCATTAACTTTATTTTCTTGAGAATGTACTATATTTGGTTTGGAGAGCTATGTATGAAAACAGTATGGCCAATTATAAATTATTTGTCTTTATAATTTAAAAAACTTTTTTACAGCAAATTATCGGAACTGTACTCAGTCTCAAGAAAAGCTGAATGAAGATATGATTCTGTAAGTCCAAATGAAATGTTAATATTATGTGTATTGCATGCTGCTTTAGTCAATACTTAGGAGGAAAAAACTAAAATATTTGATAATATTACATATAAGTGAGTAAAGCAAACGTGTCCTCTTCTTTTGTTAGGTATATAAGATATAAATATTACATAATTTTTTCTTCTATTTAAAAGGTGCGGGGGAGGCTCATGTGCTTTAAGTTGTATTTGATAAAATTCTCATCAATAGAAAAGTAGTTTTGGGATTTGCATTTTTATACCAATTTTGCCTCCTAGAACTGAAAGTACATGTCCTAGGGGCTAAAAGACTTGTTTTTTCTTTTTTTCTTTTTTTTCAAATTATTTTCCTTACAAATCTTATAGAAAAATGCCATTCAATGGACTTTAAAAAGCAATGATATGTGCAACGAATAGTAAAATAATAATAAAATAGTAAAGTTTAATTGACTAATTTTGGAGACCAATTATTCAGACTAGTATAGTTGTATTCAGACTAAAAATTGTACATTCTGAAATAAATAAAACATAAGGACATTCTGTTTTAGTTATTTTATGTATTAACCGGTATGCTTTCCTATCACATATACTGACTTAGAGAGATGTTACTTTCCTGAGTACATTCACTGGATTTCAGTAGTGTCTCACTAAAACTATGGGATTCTTTGCTCTAGACCTAAGTGATTTCTAATTTCCCCCCCAATAGATGCCTCCATGTTGCACAACCCCAAGGGACACGTATCACATTGCAATGATACCTTCTAGGCCATAATTCTTGACCTGGACTGTCCAGTGTGTTAGCTACAGCCACATATGGCTCTTTAAATTTGAATTAATTAAAATAAAATAAAGTACAATATTCAGTTCCTCCTTCTCAGTCACATTTCAAGTGTTCAAAAGCCACATATAGCTGGCTGCCATATTGTATAGTATAGATATGAAACATTTTCTTCGAAGTTCTATTAGTGCTCTTCTGTACAGTGTGAATGGTGCTCCCTTGAGCTGTGCTTTGCTATAGCCTCAACTTTCTTTGAGGGGGAAAAAAATTTTTTAGCAACTTCGACATAAAATATCTTTATATTAGGTCATTTGAAAATTCCTGACTAGAATCCAGAATATTGCCTTCTACTGAATTCTCTTCTACCAATATTAAAGCAGAGTTCTGACATACAATTATGAAGTATGAGTTTCTTACAAAGAATTTGGAACTTTTAAATATAGGGGCATTCATTCGAAGAACAAATAATAAAAAGGAGAGTAAGTTGAAAAGATATGTCTGTGTACAGTTATTAAGAGGCGACTAAAATTATAAAGAAAGATTTTTATCATTTATAATGTAGTATTTGTTATACTTTTGTTTCTCAAACCAGTGTTCTGTTTTGGAATTATTTGAGATACACGATGAAAAATAGTTTCGTGGTCAGATTGGTTTGGAATATGCTGTGTATGACAGCCTCCTCTTGAACACAGAACAAATAAGCATGATAAATGCTCCATTTAATCCATGTTTTCCAAGCCTATTTGGCTATGGAACCTAATTTTTTTCCCCTAACACCTAGTAACATTCTAATGTTAGATGAGCTAATGTTTCAACGAACACATTTCTGGGAATTGTTGCTTTATGTAACTTTTTCGATTAGGATAATAATCATCTATAATCATCAGGAATTGAAGAACTGGATTCTACCTAAATCGTTTTCCAAAGACAGTGACTCATAGCTTTATATGTTTGATGTTTTAATATTAGGTCTCTTCCTTTGTTTTATTTGTCAGACAGTTATTCTGAAAATAATTGAATTTTTTTGTTGAATCAGATTATAATGACTAAATAGTCCCAAGATTGTTGCTGGTGAATATGATATCTCTTTTTTTGCTGTCAAGAGTTAATTAATTCTATATGAACTTTAAGCAACTCATTCCCTCCTTTTTGCTACTTCTGACATGTCTACTATAATCTTCTTGAAAATGAAGGGTAAACTTGATGACCAAATCTATATTAGATTTAGTTCGACTGCATTTAGTATAAAATCCATCATAATAGTCACTTAACCGTGATAGAAGCTTATTTCTCTCAAACATAAAAATGTGAAAGTAGGCTGTCTAAAAATGAAACATGACTCAAAAATGCATAAGGGACCCGGGATCTTTCTGTCTTTCTGCTAGTCTTATGACCACATCCACTTTAGCTGGGCATATTACCACTGCAAATAAAATGGAGATTCTCTTATTTAGTAAGAAGATAAGGTCAGATATTGGGTGATAGAATAGACAGATGGCAATTTCTACTACATCAAGTTGTAGCCTAGAATAATTCTAAGATTGTGTCCAGTGGAACTGGCAAATGTTAATAGGCGATACATTTTAAAAGGATGGGAGTGTTCATGGTTGATTGGTCTGAAATATTCTGTGTCGAAGAAAATTAAACTACTGCTTTGCTTTTGAATTTTTTTAATATTTTCATTTGTATTATCAAGTTCTTTGGCGGGGATGGTGCTAGGTATGCAGTGTTTCCCAGACCCCTTTGAGAACCCTTTTTCCTCAGAAATATTGCTAGAGTAATTCAGACCATAAGCTCAGAATTCAGATCAGAGGTACAGGATTCAGATGGTGGACTTTGCCACTTTCTATCCATAGAAACTGTTGGATACCTTCTGTAAGCTTCAGTTTCTTCATCTGTGAAAATGTGGTGTTGATACTTTCTGGTGATTCAGTGACATTCAGATATGTAAATTGCCTGAAATAATATTTAACAAAGTAACTGTTCAATAAATGACACCTATCCAGATTAAATCGATCATAATTTGCATATGGTTTTGCATTAGAAGGCTTAGACTTTGACGGCAGTTTCATTTTTGCTGCAAAATAAAGCCTGGGTTCTGGGCCTACTAGAGTTTCTTCTGGGTCCCGGGTAGTTTGGAAATCTGATTAGTAGATAAATGAGGAGTTAATAAGTATGGTTCTTCCATGTGGAATAAATTGAGTATTTTTTTTTCTTTGTTTTTAAGGAATAGTCTTAAAAAGTGAATCAGTACTTCTATAAAATTGTTTTTAATTATTTTTCTGATTAAATAGTTAATATTTTAATTGTAGAAAGTGTGAAAAGATAAAAATGCACAAAGAAAATTAAATTACTTATAATCCTACCACTAAAGGATAATATATATTAATTTTGTTTATATTATTATAGCCTTTCTACATATATATGTATATAGATTTAATTTTAATGTAATTGGAATTACACTGCTGTTCATGGTGTTTTTAACAGCTTTATTGAGGCATAATTATCATAAACTCACCAGCTTTAAGAGTAGAATTCAATGATTTTTCATAAATTTACAGAGTTATGCAATCATCACCACAATCCATTTTTAGAACTCTTCCATCACGCTACAAAGATCCCTTCTTTGCATGTAGTCAGTTCCCATTTCTACCCTGAGACTGGGGCAACTACTTACCTTCCTTCTATCTCAAAAGATTTACATTTTCTGGACATTGCTTATGTATAGAAACATGTAATATGCAGAGGTTTTACACCTGGCTTCTTTTATTTACCATAATGTTTTTAGATTTATTGATGCAACATGTATCAGTAGTTATTCCTTTTTATTGGTTAAAATTTTGTTTATCTATTCACCAGTTATTGGACATTTGGATTGTTTTTGTTTTGTTTTGTTTTGTTTTTTGGCTATTTAAAAATAATGCTTCCATGAACATTGATATATAAGTCTTTGTGTAGATATCTATTTTTATTTCTCTTAGGTAGGTTACCCAGGAATGGAATTGCTGGGTCATATTGTAAGTTTATGTTTATCTTTCTAAGAAACTTCCAAACTTTTCCAAAGTGGCTAGCTACATCATTTTACTTTCCCACCAACAATGTATAAGGGTTCCAGTTTTTCTACATCCTTGCCAACACTTGTTATTGTGTCTTTTTTATTGTAGCTATTGTAGAAGGTATGAAGTTTGCATCTCCTTAGTGACTAATAATGAGCATTTTTTTTCATGTACTTTCTAGGCATTCATATATTCTCTTTGGCGAAATGTCTATTCAGATATTTTGCCTACTTTTTAGTTGTGCCATTTGTCTTCTTATTATTGAATCATAAGAGTTCTTTATAAATTCTAGATACAAGTTCTTCATCACATATATGATTGGAAAATATTTTCTCCTAGTCTATGGTTAGTCTTTCATTTTCTTAGAAGTTTCTTTTGAAGCACAAAAATTTTTTAATTTGATGAGGTACAATTTATCAAGTTATTTTACGGATTGTGCTTTGTATTTAAGAATTCTTTGCCTAATACAAGGTCATGAGGACTTCCTCCTACATTTTCTTCTAGAAGTTGTAACATTTTAGCTCTTACACTTAGGTCTGTGATCCATTTCAAGTTTATTTTTGTGCTAACAATATATGAGAGACATACTCAAGAACTTTACTAGGGAAATCTAGATTTTTACATTCAATGTACTTCACTTTTTCTGATAGAGGTTTATTGTTATTTTATAGTTTTTAGCACAAACTCAGTTAAATATTGATAGGTTTTGGTGGAAGAGATCTATTTTGTTTTGTTTTGTGGGTTTTTGGTAACAAGAGAAAAAAATTGCTCATTAGTCTCGCTAACATTTCAAATAATATTTTTTCAGGTTGACTCTATATTATGTTGGAATAGGAGTTGCTGCCCTGGTTTTTGGCTACATGCAGATTTCTTTTTGGGTTATGACTGCAGCACGACAGACCAAGAAAATTCGAAAACAGTTTTTTCATTCAATTTTGGCACAAGACATCAGCTGGTTTGATGGCTGTGACATCGGTGAACTTAACACTCGCATGACTGAGTAAGAGGATAGGTGTGTAGTATCACAACTTTGTTTTTATATATGACATATAAATGACTTAATTGCATTTATTTACTGTTTCAGTGACATCAACAAAATCAATGATGGTATTGGAGATAAGATTGCTTTGTTCTTTCAAAACATGTCTACGTTTTCCATTGGCCTGGCTATTGGTTTGGTGAAGGGCTGGAAACTCACCCTGGTGACTCTGTCTACATCTCCTCTCATAATTGCTTCTGCAGCCATGTTTTCTACGGTAGGCAAGATGGCTAATACAGTGTTTACTGGAAGCAGAAATGTGAACTAGGTGTTTCACTGAGACAAAAGGCATTTCTTTTCAGTTTCTGTGTCCCAAAATAGAAAGGGACATTATACACACACCACAAGTACTTTTGATTTTGTTCACCATTAATCACCTTTCTATCTTCAAGTTATTAGACTATGACAAAGTTGGTTTTAATATCTTACTAACATTAAAAATATTCTACTTTGAGCTTTTGGGCAAGATGGCAGAGTAGGTAAATGCTGTGCTCCCCTTCTCCTATGACTACCTCAAAATTATAACTACAGAATAATCATCATTGAGAATCACCTAACGGCTAGCTAAACAGTGGTCCTATAACTGAGGATATACAGAAGAAGCCATGTCAAGACCAGTAGGAGGGGCAGAGACATGAAGCAGCCTGGTCCCACTTGTGGCAGTAAAAACCTGGAGGGATATCTTGTCTTCAGAGGTCCCTCCTGAGGAGCAAGGGGTCCCAGCCTTCTCATCCCAGGCTTCCCATCCCAGGGTTCCACCCAAGCTTGGCACTAGTGGTAGTTGGCCTCCACTCGCAGCTGAGTTTTTCAGGCACCTTTAAGCTCAGCACAAGTAGCAACCATCTGAAGATCACTTTATAGCTCATACCAAGTGGCCTTGGGCAGGGCACAGGCAGCAGATGACTTTGGCCTGTACCAGAGCCCCTCCAAAGTGGCCCCAGAACAGACACATTCAGTGACCAACTTAGACCACAACAGAGCACCACCCAACCACCTCCACAAATGACACACCCAAAAAGCAGGCTCAGCAGGCACCAGAGCCCCACTAAAGCAACTGCTGCTTTGTAGAGTTAGCCACTGCACAATAGATCCCCCACTGTAATCACAGCCAGTCCTCACAACCAATTAGCCTGAGGGCCAATCCTTCTCACTGACATGCAAACACAGTCAAGGCTAAACTACAATGGAGGAGTGTACACAAAATCCATGCAGGGGACATAACCTGGACCATATGGTTTAGGTGACCAGGGAGACTGCGCCAACTGGGCCCCACAGGACATTTACTACATAAGGCCACTCTACTAAGAAATGGAGACATAGAAGCTCTCCCTAATACATGGAAACAAACACAGGGGGTAGCCAAAATGAGGAGACAAAGAAACATCCCAAAAAAGGCAATAAAGAACAAAGCTCCAGAAAAAGAACTAAACAAAATAGTGACAATCTACCAGATGCAGAGTTCAAAACTCTAGTTATAAGGATGCTGTGATCTCAGTGAGAACTTCAAGAAAGAGACAGGAAACATAAAAAAGGAACTAGTCAGAAATGAAGAGTACAATAACTGAAATGAAGAATACATTAGAGGGAATCAACTTTAGATGAAGCACAGGATCTAATCAACAATTTGGATAAGATAATAAATAAGATAGCAGAAAACACCCAGTCAGAACAGCAAAAAGAATAAAAGAATCTTAAAAAATGATGATAGTATAAGGAGCCTCTGGGACAACATCAAATATACCAACATTGGCATCATAGGGGTAACAGGAGAAGAGATCAAGAAATTGAAAACCTATTTGAAGAAATAATGATGGAAAACTTCCCTAACCTAGTGAGGAAAATAGACATACAATCCTAGGAAGCACAGAGAGTCCCAAACAAGATGAACTCAAAGGAGCCCACACCAAGACTCATAATAATTAAAATGTCAGAGGTTAAAGACAAAGAGAGAATCTTAAAAGCAGCAAGAGAAAAGTAGTTAGTTACCTACAAGGGCACTCTCATAAGACTGTCAGATGATTTCTCAACAGAAACTATGCAAGCCAGAAGGGATTGGCCTGCATATTTAAAGTGATGAAAAGCAAGGATCTACAACCAAGATTACTCTATCCAGCAAAGCTATCATTCATAATCAAAGGATGGATAAAGAGCTTCTCAGACAAGAAAAAGCTACAGGAGTTCATCAACACCAAAACCAGTGTTATAAGACATGTTAAAGGGACTTCTTAAAGAAGAATAAAAATGAAAAAAAAGATTAAAAATGTGAATAACAATGGTAATAATTACTATCTATCAACAGTTACTTTAAATGTAAATGAATTAAATGCTCCAGCAAAAGACATAGGGTAACTGAACGGATAAGAAAACAAGACCCTTACATATGGTGCCTATAAGAGACTCGCTTCAGATCACAAGACACACACACAGACTAAAAGTAAAGGGATGGAAAAAAGATATCTCACAAAAATGGAAACAAAATAAAGCTGGAGTAGCAATATGTATACCAGACAAAGGCTATACAAAGAGACAAAGAAGAACCCAGTTATCCCACCTCTGGGTATTAATCTGAAGAAACCCAAAACACTAATTTTAAAAGAAATATGCATCTATATGTTCATTGCAGCATCATTTACAATAGCTGAGATATGGAAGCAACCTAACTGTCCATCAATAGATAAATAAATAAAGTTGTGGTACATATATACAATGGACTATTATTCAACCACAAAAAGGAATTAATTCTTGCCATCTGCAACAACATGGATGGACTTAGAGAGTATTATTCTAAGTGAAATAAGTCAGAGAAATACAAATACCATATGATTTCATTTATATATGGAATCTAAGAAACAAAATAAATGAACAAACAAAACTGAAACAAGCATACATACAGAGAATATTTTGATGGTTGCCAGATGGGATAGGGGTTGGCAGGATCGGTGAAAATGAAGAAGAGATTAAAATGTACAAGTTGGTAGTTACAAAACAGTCATGGGGAAGCAAAGTATAGCATAGAGAGTATAGCCAATAATATTGTAATAACTATATATGGTGTCAAATGGGTACTGGCTGTATCGAGGTGATCACTTCGTAAGTTATATAAATGTCTAAACACTATATAGTACAACTGAAATTAATATAATATTGTATGTTTAATTGAAAAATACAAATTATTTTTTAAAAAGAAGATGAAAAAAACATTCCTCTTCATTTAGTAGCCTCATGCAGCTTCAAATGATAGCGTGAGTAAGGTATTACGCATGGATACATTAGATGTCAAGAGTGCCTTATGTATTCTAAATTCCCAGATAAATGTATTGCAAATTCATTTCACTAAAAGAGAATGAGAAGATCTAAAATAGTAAATACTTAAATACTTTTTATGTTAGCCATTTAAAGTTTATATGTTTTAATGAGGTCTGAATTACAATTAAAATGTTTGCTAATGTCTATTTTTGTGTACTATGTAAATGCATTTCAATTTTTTTAACAAATTATGTGCATTTTAAATTGTATTTTTACCACCGTTATACTGTGAGTATACCACAAAATAGTAATCTGTTTACAGCCTTATTTTGAAACCAACCTTGTGAAGTCTAAAAATAACTAATATATCCTTAATATCTCTCTCCAAATCAAGTCTTCAGCAGCTCTACCAATGCATATTCCATCTCCTTGATTGGAGGCACAGTGTATTCTTGAAGGATGTATGGAGTTTTTAATTTTGCAAAGCCAATTGTTCTTTATGAAAATAAAGCCATAAAATTCACAGAGTTTGTTTTCTAGCAACATACAAGGTCAACCAAATAAGAATTTTGAGCAATAAAAATATTTTGTGGTTAAACAATTCCTTAATAGGCTTGGGTGTTTAGACAACAAATTTTTATTTAGTGTGACTTCTAGTGTTGATCTTGTAACCCTTGTCAAAATCTTCATCCCCAGTTATTTGCAATGAAGACCCCCTCAGTAGGAAGATTACCCACAGTATGCTACTAAGATCAGAGCCTGAACTTAACTGCCCTAAAAAGGAACAACGTTGGGAATCTAAGTTCTGCTCTTGTATTAAATGATTGTAGAGGAAGCAAGTAAAGGTCACAGTTATCCAAATGACTAAAGAAGCCAGGATGTTTTCTGGCTTCCTTCAATTTAACTTACTTTGGCAAACATTTATTAAATATTCACTTCGTAGAAGGTTTTTTGCTAGGTGCTGCTTCTCTTCCAGTGATGTATTATAGAAATGGTTATCTTAAAATTAATTCAGAAAATGAGTATTACCCAGCTTTTGCTACCTTCTGACGTTAACAACTGTCTGAGCATGTCTTGTGTAAAATCAGATCCAATTATGTGGAATGTACTTTGAAAGTGAATAGATTTGTTATGTTAATAAGCAATAGTTACAGATGCACAGCTCAGAAGACAATTTTCCTCCTGTTCTCTTTCATTGAACTGCTGTGCTAATTACTAAATTAAATCTTTTTACTAATTAAAAGAGTACTACGTGCATGTATAGTAAAGGCACATTCTGATTTAAAATTTTTGAGAAATCAGGTAAACATGCCTAATATCACCAAGAGTTATATTCTCCTCTCTGGAATCTTACTTTCGTGTTTGGAGATATAGCATTTATGAGGCCAGCTGCATTACGTAGTAATAGCTTCAGGGGTCACACCCCAAACAAATTCAGGATCATCTCCCTCTTCCTGCCACAGCCTTGTGACCAATATCCTCTGGAAGCCTTGCTTTTTACATAATAACAAACAAATCAAGTTAAATCGGACTCTCTAATTTCCAGAGTACAGCCCAAATTAACTATGTCCTAATCAAGCCTTTCCCAAATTATATCAATATAGATACCCATCTTCTAAGTTTTTAAAGAATGCAGAGAAACAAACGTGAAGCTCTAGGAGTAGAATGCAAAATAGAGATTTAGATTCTATGATATATTAGGCTAAGCTCTTTCAATGCTGTGAGACTCTAAAATGTCTATTAATATCTCTGCCCATTGGTTTCTTGTTTGCAAACAGACAAGGTTAAATTAAGTGATAGTAAATACTTTTTCAATAACAAAATTATGTTGTTCTAGATTCTAAGTGAATTAAATTCTCTGCACATTGCTACTACCCCAGGGTCACTCTTTGCTTAACTGTGGTCATGGTTTATTACAGATAGTCATCTCGTTGACCAGTAAGGAATTAAAAGCCTATTCCAAAGCTGGAGCTGTTGCAGAAGAAGTCCTGTCATCAATACGAACAGTTGTAGCCTTTGGGGCCCAGGAGAAAGAAATCCAAAGGTCTGTTTCTTTACTTATGACTATATGCTTGGTTTTTTTCTTTTTTTTCCCAAAGTCTATTGCATTATGTTTTGTCTTTTTAAGGTATACACAGAATCTAAAATATGCAAAGGATGTTGGCATAAAAAAAGCTATAGCTTCAAAACTCTCTCTTGGTGCTGTGTACTTCTTTATGAATGGAACCTATGGACTTGCTTTTTGGTATGGAACCTCCTTAATTCTTCATGGAGAACCTGGTTATACCATCGGAACTGTTCTTGCTGTAAGTCTTGTTTGAGAACAAAGGTAACTGGCCTAGATAATCTTTTCTTACTTAGAGTTTAGTAAAAATTTCTCTTTGAATGACATTGAATATTCAAAGATGAATGATTTTAATAAATATTTGTTTCTTTCAAATTATTTGTATACACCTTTAAATTATAGCTATGAGTGGCAGGATATATTTCTCCAAATTAATTTTCCACTGGGAGACAGAGTTTTCTTAATCCAGCAGTCAAAAAGGCCAGTCTTTTTTGAGACGTTTTCCCTTCAATCTTGCTAAGATAAAGTAGCACTCTACATTCACCTTGCTAAATGTTTTCCTTCTGGAAATATTCTATAAATTAGCCTCTCCTGCCCTTCTTCTGTCCTTTCAGTATATAGTAATGTTTAAAACAGACTGTATAAACTCTATCCAGGATCACAATTTAGAGTTTTTTAAACTCTTAGGGATTATGCATTAAATTTAAATGTATTCAATTATCCTCCCAAGTTTCAACAATAAACAGATCAATTCAGGATTTAGAAACATTTGTCTTGCTAAACTGAATTGATCTGGTCTATATACTTCAATCGTTTGGCCTTCCAATTTTATGCAGATTTCTTTTCTCTCCACTGAAGTCATCTTCTGAATTTGAGACTTTCATAGTTAAGACTTTAAGCTATCCATTTATTTCATATAAATGAAGTTTGGGTACAAGGAATTGGCACATCCTTGTGACTTTGGGCAAATGACTTGCTAAACCTGTTTCCTCAAGTAGGGAAAACAGCACCTAGCTTGTGGGATTCTTTCCTTATTTGTTTTTTTACAGAGCCATGTCTGTCTGAAAATGGGTGTCCAGTAATATAAGAATTCAGAAAAGTTTGGACTGAAATAGTACAATGTCTCTAAGTTAGTGAAATCTAATACATCCTTCTCTTTAAAGCTCTAAGGATTGACCAGGAAGGAGAGTGTAACTCACCTCCTCACTCAGCCAGGTTTATGTACGCCAGCACTCCTCAGTAAGCCAGTTTTCCTTCATAGACTTCCGAGAAGGTGATAACGACAAAACTATGGGACAATCAAAAGCTTTTCTACAATAAGAAAAGGCCAAGTATACTTGGGTTAACTTGTGTTTCCTTTATATTTGGCAGCGGCTTTTATTCTCTCCTACCTAATTTTTCTAATATCTCTATGTGTCTCAACCAAGTATACACTTCATTCGATTGTCTTTCTCATATAACTGAGAAGGAATAACTATTACTATGTTTTTGTTCCTGAAGGTTTTCTTCAGTGTAATCCACAGTAGTTATTGCATTGGAACAGCAGCCCCTAACTTTGAAACCTTCACTAGAGCCCGAGGAGCCGCCTTTAATATTTTCCAGGTTATTGATAAGGTAAGATTTTCTAATTGCTTTGAAAGATAAGTAACACTACTGCAAGGAAACCAAAAAACAGGCACACTCGTTTCAGTAAAACAAAAAGATGAGCAATTGGCTATGCAAAGAGAGATGGTTAATTCTTCTACAAGGAGATCATTTCATTAAAACCTTCATGTCTAAATCAACGCACTCTCAAGCAAAAAGGGAAACATTGTAAAAGAAAACCATCTTAAAACTGTTTTTAGGATATAGTGTCAGGTTAGTCCCTTGAAGGTTTATAATGTCCTCTTTGTTTTTCCAAGAAACCCGCTATAGATAACTTTTCAACAACAGGATATAAACCGGAATGCATAGAAGGAACTGTGGAATTTAAAAACGTTTCTTTTAGTTATCCATCGAGACCATCTATTAAGGTAGGCTAGTTTAATTATAGCATTATACAATTTTCTGATATTATTTTCTACTGGGCTAAGCTCTCCTGTGAGATACTTAGGACCAAGATTTTGCTACTTTGCTTGAGGGGTGGCAGAAGAGAAAGAGGGAGGAGAGGGGAGGATGGGAGGTGAGGAGAGGGGAGAGAAGAGGAAGGATCAGTCCATAACTATGGAACAGCTAGCACATTTTGAGCTTCTTTTCTATATCCAACCAACTAAAGTGTTTTCAGTTCCCCGGAATTCCTTCCCTCTGGGTTTGGGAGCACATCAAGATGTCTTGGATTGATGGTGCCACCTATTGGTGGTTCCTGGATATTACCTAACTGAAGACAAATCATTTTAAATCTAGTTTCGAACTTGAGAGAATTAGGCACGTGTTGTGCTTTCGCTTCTCCCTTTCCTAGGGCTTACACTGCACAGGCATTTGTTCCTCAGATACTTCTTCCTTCACTTTTCCACACACACGTGCAACACACACGCAAACACGCATGCATGCATACGCAGCACCAAGTTTATCCTCTTCCCTCTGTCATTCAACCTTTGACAAGTTCTTGTGAAAATGTATCTGTCTCTTCTATTGTTTTCTTCTTTCCAAAAGAGTAGTTAAAGATTGCAAAGAGTAATTACCAATAAATACTTGTTTCATAGAAAAAGGAGCACATGATTTTAAGTGAAATTGCTAAAATTGCTAATGTTATCAACCTCTAATGCCTTTTAAAGTATCCAAATGTCCCCTGCATAATTTGCATCAAAAAAAGATGCACCTACTCCTACTTTCATATTTTTTCTAAGTCTTTGATTGAAATTCTCTTTTCAAAGCTCTTGATTTTTTTCAAATTTCTTGTTATTTAATTACCGTCCTTGCAATAGGGTTGTCTTCTACCATTTTTCTTAACATAGAGTATTTCGACTCCATTTTGCAACCACACTTGGGTTGGCTTCCTGGAAACTTAAGCACCAGTTGTGCTATTATTTTGCATAGTAAAGTGCTCTCTGGGTTTTAAACAACTATTTTTTAAATGAACTTTTGAAACATAGCCCTTTTTGTTAAGCCGAAGAATGAATAATTTTTTTAAAAAGTCCACCACCCACTTTAAATAAACAAAACAGAAATCACTCTAGAGTAAAAGAGCAGGTGGGAGAGGAGGTATTCCCACTGGGGGTCCCCAATTTCTCACCTCCTTTAGAGAGTTTTCCTCTGCTTAGCCCTTTGAAGCTTTTATGTTTGGCTATTTAAAGAGTCTGTTTCTTTACAAAAGGAGAGATCAAAGTGAGAGAATCCAAGGAAAGATTCCTATACTTGGAGCTGAATACATACAAATGCAAGCAAAGATAGGTGAGAGTTTCTCATCAGGATTGCTATTGTCATTTGGGGAGGGTAATTATTTGTGAGGTTTCTCTCACATTGCTGTTCCCTGGGACACTAAATGCCGGTAGCAAACTCCAGTTTGAAATGTCTCCTGGGATCCACAGCTAGAAGAGGGAGAGTTTCTATTGGTGGAATCCCATTAATAGGAGTTCCTGAGGAGTTGTTTTTTTGTTTTGTTTTGTTTTTGCCTTTTATTTTGTTTGTTTGACTGTTTGTTTTTGTGGTGACATTGGAGTTTTGACCATTGTTCTACTTTGGAATATAATTTGCAACAATGTTAAATATACTCTAAGAAAGAATTTCCTTAAATAACTCACAAAGATACAAGGCAAGATTTCATCAGTTGTTGCAAATTAAAAGGTAGTTGTGAAATTCATATATGTATTTCAGCTGAAAATATAAACAGTTTGCTGTGGCTCGTTAATATTCAATGAGTACTCTTAATTTTGATTTCCTCTTTATATAGAGAGATGATGAGAGATTCTTTTATGATTATTTTCCAAAATTATGTAGGTTATTGTTATACATGTATATGAAACAAACGTAACAATATTTAAATTTGTTTTTAGGTACCGCAAAAGAATTTATTTTATATTATTACATTATATTATTACATATAATTTATTTTATGTTAATTACATTAAATTTCTGAAAATATGTCAATCATATTCTCACTTATCCTAGTTTTATGGAATTTCTTCACATACATTCCAATAGATTCTGAAAGGTCTGAATCTCAAAATTAAGTCTGGAGAGACAGTAGCCTTGGTTGGCCCCAACGGCAGTGGGAAGAGTACAGCAGTCCAACTTCTGCAGAGGTTATATGATCCTGACGACGGCTTTGTAAGTGCACCTAGCGAAATTATGCACAGTCCACACAATGAGGTTTGGAAATGCCACCTACTACAAAGATCTTACAGCTATGTCGACTTAATTTTTAACAGTGGAGCTGGGAGAGAAACTTTATTGTTTTCTTTCCTGTATATTCATTTATTCAACAAATATTTATTGAGCACCTACTATGTACCAGGCGCTATTCTAGGTGCTGGGCATATACTGGTGAACAAAGCATAAAAACCTCTGCCCTCATCAAGTTTACATTCTAATAAATAGAGACAGACAAATAGAATAAGTAAGTTATATAGCCAGTTAGAAGGTATTAAATGCTGTGGAGAAAAATAATAGTAATTTGTAGTATCCAGAATTTACCAAGATTTTCAGTTTCTCAAAACATCCCAGAAGAATGATATCTATAGAGAATACACTCTCTCATTTTTTTCCTGTCATCTATAATGGTGCACTTAACTTTCTCACCCTTGTACAGGGCAGAGAGAATGAGATTATGATCATTACAAAAAGCATAATTCTTAATGATTCTCTTCAAACTTCCAACTGTTACTCTCCTATAGCCTGTTTTTACTTAAATTTGACTTCTTATGTCTACATTTAGAGTATCCTAGACTTATATATCTATGCTAATATTGAACAAATAAATTTTTGGATAACCATTCCATATATAAAACAGTTGCATAGAATACCCATGCCCACACAGAATACCAGAGTTGGTGAGACTCTGAGTTATAATTATTAAACATTTGTTTCTGTATTGGAATATGTTGAGGTAATGGGTAATGGCACTATCTGTGGAGAAGACAGCATCCATTTAGTATTATATATAGCAATGAATAGAAGACACTCTTGCCTTTTGCAGGGAAGTGGGTGTTGAAGAGAAGCACAGAAGAATATTTCCTAGAATAAATGCAGAGATCACAGTCTTAACAAAACTGAAGTTTGTTACATGCGTCTATGTGGTAACATTTGTGGCTTCTAGGGTATATTTATAATACCTGATTTGTGAGTCTTAGAGTAAAGACATTTAGGTGACGTGGCAAGATCTTAACCCAATTTTTTTGAGATTTTGTTGGTTCTCATCTACCAGAAAAAGTCTCAACAATATAAATGCTATAAACATTCTATCAAAATATAGTCAGTCTTTGATTCCTGAAATACCCTGCTTCTCAGCTTATGTTTTGGACTAGTAGAAAAGACTCTAAACCCAATGCAATGAAAGGCATCACAATGTGATTCATTCCTATGGATTGGCAGATCACAGTGGATGGGAACGACATCAGAACTTTAAATGTGCAGCATTATCGAGAACATATTGGAGTAGTAAGCCAAGAGCCTGTTTTGTTTGGAACTACTATTAATAACAATATTAAATATGGACGAGATGGTGTGACCAATGAAGAGATTGAGAAAGCAGCAAAGGAAGCAAATGCTTATGATTTTATAATGGAGTTTCCCAATGTAAGTACACTGTGTGGCTATGTCTTTAGCTAAGAACTAAAGCACTACAGTATTCCAAAATGAAGTAACAAAACAGTAACTTCTACAGAGTAGGGGGTGCGATTAATTTGGGGGTTATCCTAGATGAAACATCCATAAATGAGAAAGCTTAGTAACAACCAAAAGAAGAAATGCATCATTGTAAGGTAAATTTTAAAAATCATACTTAGTTCTAATTGGTTCTCATTGTAAACAGAAAAGAAAAAAATGATGGATATGTTAAAATATAACAAAGATTATATGAGACAAAATCATCTGTCCAAGCTGAGAAATATCTGCAAAAATGTTGATTTTCAAGGCCATCTTGTGGCTAGGAGTGGAAATGTCACACAGGATATTCAGATTGGTTCTGTGGTAAGGCAAAAGGAAAACTAAGATCATTTTTAGAAGCACACAGAGCTAATATTGGACAAGAAATGTAAAATTATACTTGGAAAGGGATGTAATAAACTAAAATTCTTGGTAGTAGAACACATCTGATCCTAATGGGTATTTGGAATTAATAGCTGTAAAACCATTTATTTACATTTCTCAAAGATTTGTTCATCAGTATCACCTGCAATTGTTGTGGGAGCACTCTTTGAAAAATGAAAGAATGAGATTTGAAATTAAAAGATAAAATTCTTATTTTAATGGATATATTTTAAAACTCCACTTGTTGGGTCATAGTAATTTTGTTCTTACTTTTGTTTTGCTTTAAAAAAAGAACTTTTGTTATGCTAGTAATTACCTCCTATCCCCATTATTTAGGATCATAATTAGGACAGCAAAATTATTAAAGGCTTGAGGTCATTCTTTGCATTATGGTTTGGGAAAACACAGACTCTTTCTTTGACGTTTTGACACTTATAATGACTTCCTTTCCTCAAAACACCGATGATCTTCAGTTTCCCACTGGAATTAGGGAGCTTTCTGGTGCCTCTTAAATTATACCATGTGAGCTACTACTTGCTTTTACTAAAAGTCCAATATTTACGCAAAAAGTCCTTTGCTATAAATAAAATAGTGAAATCCTAAAGATATGATCCAAAGAACAAATTAAAGATATTGGTTTATCATTACCACACCATTTTTTATAAACTGTAAAACAAAATCTATGAGGTCATTAATTTAGAAGGGGAAAAAGTTTCCTAGGTCTTTTGCTTTGCTTGGTTTTGTTTTATATACAGAGGATGAAGTTGATTTAAGATGTGGAGTTCGGAGAGGTAGTTTGAATAAGAATTTTGAAAGGTTCATTTGGATATCTGTTTCTGCCATCAAGATGTGGATGTGCATTTCTTAAAATTCTCACACATTACATCTTTCAGCCTGGAGACCCTCCAAAAACCTAAGAGGCAATGTCATACTGGGTATGGGATGCAGACCTTCCCTCTCATTGGCTACCATGATGGGTCCTGAGGCCATCTACAGCAGAGTGACAGGACAATCTTACAGTGACACTTTCCTTTGAAGGAAAAGAGAGTTTTTATTATGCTGCATCCCAGTATCCAGGAATTAACAGTAAAAAAAAAGAACTGTTGGCTGCTTAATTAAGAGAGTTATGAAGTACTGGATTTGGGAAAAAAACTGGTTTTCAGGAATGAAACTTAAATCCAGCATTACTTACTTAGTGCTCTGAAATAACAACTCCACTGAGACAATTCCTTGGTGATAAAAAAGTCAAGGCAAAAAAAGTAAGCAACTCAGAGGTGAGCTGTGGCTCCTTTAGAGCAAAAGAGGGGCAGCCCCCCATTACCAAACAGCGCTTTAGCCTGGGGCCTTTGCAACATGCAGTGTTCCTGTCCAGTTCTGGCACCTTACCATTTTGATAAGGACCTTGTTGTCTTTTTACCAGTTTATTACTTGAAATGATAATATAATCTGTCTGCCATTTCAGGACTATGATACATTTTTCTAGTAGTTTTAAAAAATAAATAAGATTTCATTTTTCCTCCCCTCTGCTCCCCCCCAAAAAGAGAGAGAGACTGGCTTATGATGATGGAAACTAAATTCCAGAAATATAAGAATAAACACAATAATAAATAAAAATTCCAAAAGTGGTTAATTTATATGGGTGAAAAATTAGTAAAAGTTATGCTCAAAAATAAATATCATTACTTTTATGGTACTTTTACAATATACATATATTTTTTAATTAATATATAAGGATTAACTGATACTTGCTGTCCTTTTCCTGTTAACAACCATAAAACTGGTAAAATATATGAGGCACAGGACAATTGTTTATAGGCATTGGATGAAAGGTGGCACAGAATTGTGATACCTGAGAGGAAGGAAGCTCGTGAATTTATAGCATTCTGTCTAGGAACAAATTTTTAACTACGTCTCTGTAAACTGGAATCCAGACAGAACATAGCAGTCCCACTGAGGTGAAAGGCAGAGAGAGAATTTCAAGTCAGTGTAAGCAAAAGGAGAAGCAATGAGAGAGCTGTGGAGTTGAGCTGGGAGGCAGAAGTCCATGTAGGCATCTCTTGGGAATCTTTTTCTGAGGACTGACTACCCAAGGCCTCCCAGAGATCAGCTGCTACAAAGCTGAGAGTAGAACAGAGATACTAGAAGTCAAGCAGGATGATGGACATGGCCCAGCCAGAGTGGAGAAATCACATTAATACCTTTTAATACCTCAGGCATATAGCTGAGACACCAATAAAAGCTACATCTTAGGAGTAAAGACCACACCTTAGAGTAAGGCTGACTCTAGACCTGCCCTAACAAATCCTAAAACCAAGCCAGGACAGGATCCTCAAAGAAAACAGAACCTGGAGATTGGGTCCTGCCAAGTTTCAAGACTTTCTTCAGATTCACCCCAGCAAAGCATGAAACCAAGATTACACAATTTCAGGATGATAAGTCAGTATTTGAATTGCTTACTAGAACAAAAATCAACATTTTTTCAAAATTCATTGTTTCAAATTCAGAATCTCTCCAACATATCACACACAGAATTCAGTATATATTCTACAATAACTAGACATGCAAAGAAATAGGAAACTATGATCTACAGGCAAGAAAACACAATCTAAATGTTTATGAATTTCAGAAAAGCTTCAAAATGCATGTGGCAAAAATTTGAAAAGAGGAATAAACAAATCCACGGTTTTCGTTGAACTCTTCAGTATTCCGTGAAACAAATAGGCAGAAAATGAGCAAAGATATAGATGACCAGAACAATATTATCAATCAACTAGATCTAACTGACATTTATAGAATACTCTACCCCAAAACAGCAGAATAAATTCTTCCCGAGTGCACATGGAATGTTCACTGAGATAAACAATACTTCGGGCCATTAATAATAAAAATTAAAACCTTTGCAATTTCAAAGAAAACATATAAAATATGTTCTCAGACCATAATAGAATTAAATCATAGAAATCAATAACAGAAATATATCTGGAAAATCCACAAATACTGGAAAATTAAATAACCCACTTCTAAATATTCTATGGCTCAAAGAAGTTTCAAGGAAAATTAAAAACTATTTGAATGAAATAAAACTGAAAATGCAGTGTATCAACAGTTGTGGGATACAGTTAAAGCACTGCCTTAAGAGAAACTTACAGCATTAAATGCTTATTTTAGAAAAAAAGGCCTAAAACCTGTAAACTAAGATGAGAACCTAGAGTGAAAAGAGTAAATTAAACCCCAAACAAGCATAAGGAAGGAAATAATAAAGATTAGAGTACAACCAGTAAAATCAGAAATGGAAAACCATTAGAAGCAATCACTGAAACCAAAATCTAGTTCCTTGAAAAGATCAATAAAATCAGTAAAACTATAACAAGGATGATGAAGAAACATCAAAAAAGAAGAGAAACTACCAATACTAGGACAGAAAAAAGGTACATCACTATCGACCCCAAAGACATTAAAAGGAGTACTACTAACAAAGCTATGCCTGTAAATTTGACAACTTAGAAGATATACAGATGACAATAAGCATATGAAAAGATGCTTCACATCATTTGTCATTAGGGAAATGCAAATTAAAACAATGAGATACCACTACACTCAATTTAGAATGGCCAATATCCAGAACACTAGCAACACCAACACCACATGCTGGCAAAGATGTGAAGCAGCAGGAACTCTTATTCAACAAATGGTACTAGATGTGTGTGGGTGTAGGTGCACGCGCGCATGTATCCAACTAATGATGCAAGGATATTGCTGGTGGGAATGCAAAATGGTATAGCCATTTTAGAGATGGTTTGGTAGTTTCTTAACAAAACTAAATATATTCTTACCGTATTATCCAGCTATAGTGCTCCTTAGTGTTTACTCAAAGGAATTAAAAACATATATGTACACAAAACTTGCACACAGATGTTCACAGCAGCTTTATTCATAATTGCCAAAGCTTGGAAGCAACCAAGATGTCCTTCAGTAAGTTAATGGATAATCTGTGGTACCTCCAGACAATGGAATATTACTCAGCACTAAAAAGAAATGAGCTTTCAAGCTATGAAAAGATGCGAAGAAATCTTAAATGTATATTACTAAGTGAAAGAAGCCAGTTTGAAAAGACTAGATACTGTATAAACTATATGACATTCTGAAAAAGGCAAAACTATGGAGAGAGTAAAGATTAGTGGTTGCCAGAGGTTGGGGAAATGGGAGGGATGAATAGGTAGAGCACAGAGAATTTTTTAGGTCAGTGAAAGTACTCTGTATGATACTCTAATGATGGATACAAGTAATTATACATTTGTCCAAAATCATAGAATATACAACACCCAGAGTGAATTCTAATGTAAGCTGTGGACTTTGGGTGATTATGATGTGTCAATGTAGATTCATCAGTTGTAACAAATGTACAGCTCTGGTGGGGGATATTGAAAATGAGAGCATCTATGCATGTGTGGGCTAGGGGATATATGGGAAATCTCTTTACCTTCCTCTCAATTTTGCTTTGAGCCTAAAACTGTCTTTTAAAAAGTCTTTTAAAAATTATACACTGTATAATTCCATTCATATGAAGTTCTAGAACTAATTAAATTAATTTCTAGTGATTAAAATCAAATCAGTGTCATCCTTAGGCAGGATGTGGGTTGACTAGAAAGGGTCATGAGGAAACTTTATAGATTGATGGAAATGTTTTATATCTTTGTTGGGGTTGTGATGGTATAGGTATACACATTTGTCAAAACTCATAGAACTGTATCCTTAAAATAGGTGCATTTTATTGAGTACATAATGTTTATGGGTGTATAATGTTTATAGATGCATAATTATTAAATTATTCCTCAATAAGATTTATAAATTTGAAGATTACACTCTAGAAATTAAAGGTTTTGAAAGAATATTTAAATTTACGTCCTTGAAGAAATGAACTTTGGATCAGGGACTTAATCCAATAGAATATTACTAACCATCCTTCATTAGTTCTAGAAGTTACCTCCAACCTAAGCTATATAAAAATATCTACATTGTTAAAGATGCTATGAAAAAAAAAAATAATAGTAAAAGAAGACACAAAAAGTCTCTCAAAATTGAAAAAAGTTTTGAGGGAAGTTTGTTTTTGCAGTAATATTTTCATACTATTTTTCAGAATATCCAGGAATAGTAGTTAATATATGTTTGTATTACAGTTTTCTTTTAAAGATATCGGTGTATTCTAAAAATATTTTAAAAACTTTGAAAATTGGTTCAAATTATTATTAATCTTTCTAAAAATTCTTGATTAACATATGTTCTCATTTTTTTAGCCCTAGTCAAATTTTTTTTAGGTCCTCTCTTCACTAGATTCTTTTTTTAAAATAGTTGTTTATTTTTACAAAGAACAAATCAAAGGTCAAAATCAGCCAGACTGAGGTAGTTATTAAGCTGGTATTAAAACATAAATGATTATTTGTCATTTTCTTTTCTAATCATTTGATCATGCCACCTTCTGTTTCTGTGCTCTTTCCTATTTTTCATTAGAAATGTAATACCTTGGTAGGGGAAAAAGGAGCTCAAATGAGTGGAGGACAGAAACAGAGAATCGCGATTGCTCGAGCTTTAGTTCGTAACCCAAAGATTCTGATCTTAGATGAGGCTACATCTGCTTTAGATACAGAAAGTGAATCAGTTGTCCAAGCTGCACTGGAGAAGGTAAGTAAGCAGGCACATTTCTTACTTTCGTATTCCTGGTTCAGCATTGTTTTTAAATACAAGAAAGTATAGCTCTATAGTCAATTATTTATTAAGTTTAAAGCCCTCCTTAATATATGGGTGCATGTGATAGTTATAGGAAGTGATTTGGTGAAGAGAAGAAGATGCTATCATTGGTGCTAAAAGTATGGATGATATCTAAGCAATCATCCCATATATACATCGTTCCAGTGGGTCTGCAATTTTCATCTCCCCATAGTAACCCCACACCACTACCACCGTTGTGACTCTAGCTACATCCACCTTTGCCTTTTCCATAAGCACTTGTGGGATTCTCATCTCTGAATACTTTTCTACTTTAGAGCAACTGCAGAGTATTCATTTTAACTTAATTTCACCTCAAGTAAGAGAAGCATGTGGTGTGGTTTGACCTGAACTTGAACCATCCTCCCCCAAAGGTCCTGGGCCCTCAGACGTCACACTGACCTCCTGCTCACTGCAGGCAGCTGCACATGTTTCATGGCCACGGTGCAGTCATGACCCTTTACCAAATTGCACTGCATCTGGGAGAGTGGTTGACAGCAGTGGTATAAAACCATCAAATACTATTCTCAGTGGCCAAAGCTTATTTTTAATCATGGCCTCCAGAGCCTTCAGAAGGCTTAATGACATATTTTACTTTGAGTTTGTTTAAAAATGTACTATTGTTTTTCTAAGAAATACACACTTTTCTTTTTAAATACTGGCTTTGTGGAACCAGAAATGGATACTGGCAGCCGAGTGCCCACTGCTCATTAGTTAGTGTAAATCAGATTGTGTAAGTACTTCACCCTTGTTTCCAACTCATGTGTCACATGTTACACATGATATTTCTTATTTTTGTAAAATAAACAAGTGATATGAAAAATCTATGTTTTTCATGGACACTTTGCTAATTTGCTTCATTTGGGTGGAGAAGAAACAATGACACCCTCAAGAGCGTGGCTGATGCTTTAGTCACTTTTTTATACTTAATGTCTAGGGCAAGGCTCTACCTATAGAATGCCCTCAAATTGTGTTTTAAAATAGTGATGTTTAGTTACTCAGGGTTTGAATGTGCTAAAAATGATTACACTTAACATAACTATCTCTTAAGTTATATAAGATTTTTTCCAGTTTTATTGAGCTGTAATTGATATACGTGTATAAGATTTTTGGAAAGATATCATAATAGGCTCCGGAGTTGTTTAAAGGTTAAATATTGTTCCCATTGTCTTGTCATGCAATATTTTAATCATTTCAAGCGATGAAAACTCGTTCAGACTTTTAAAATAAACAGTTGCTTGGCGATATGATAAACTAATATGTAAAGGTTTTTTTCCTACTGGTTAAAATGAAATCAATATCAAATGAAAAGACATGAATGCAAAAAAATGTAAATTATGATTCTAATTATATAAAATAGGTATACACGTGAACAAAAATGAAAGCAACATATGCAAAAATAATAACAGTTGTGTAGCAGAATTATGGGGAAATTTAAAGTTTTTTAAAAAAATTTATTTACTGTTATTGTTTTTCAGTTTATAAAGTAAGGGATTAAATATTGTAGAAATGTATAGGTGTGAAAGTGCTTTAAGTAGTGTTTACTGGTCTTTTGTGGGGAGGAGAGTAAATGGTAACAAATGGAGTGATAAGTAGCACAGTAAATTCGATTAATTATATATGCCTCAGTTTATTGAGAAACAACTCAACTCATGGCAAAGGAGAGAGTTAAAATATAGACAAGGTAATGAAAACCCAGTTCCATGAGTCCTGTACACCCACCATGTAGCTTGTGAAATCAAGCCTTCAGAGAGATCCCTACCTAAGTAGGTAGGGCATCCAGCAAGTCTCATTTCTGCTCATCTGTCAAATAAATCTTAGACTGCATGACACAGCCTAACTCACAACAGTTAGCAGATTTTTACAGCTCAAAATATCACATAAGCCACTAACCAATCAAAGAGGGAATAGTAAAATGTATTCCTTCTTACTGGTGCATCCACCTCTCTCCATGCCCAGCCTTCACATATTCCTCACAACCTCTTCTCTCCATTACCCCCTTGTCTTTTTATATGAAGTTCTAGAACCCGTGAAACTAATCTATAGTTATTTTTTAATAATCAAATCAGTAGTTTCCTGGGGCAGGGGGTGGGTTTTGATTAAAAAGGGACATGCAGGCACTATGACTCTTGTCCTCACTTGGATTTTTGCCGTAGCCAACTCCCTGCTTCAGTCCATGCCCTCTTCATTCAGTCTGTTCTCAACACAGCATCAGGGGGATACTGTTAAAATGTAAATTTGATCATCTCATGCTTCTGCTTAGATCTTCCGGTGGCTCCTTATCTCACTCTTCACTCTAAATAAAAGCCAACTTCCTTACAGAAAGCTACAAGGATCTCTGGAGTTAGGTGCCAAACTTTTTCTGGAACCTCAAATCCCACCACTCTCCCCTACATTGGCTGCTCTTGAAATATGCCATAACACTTTTAATCAGCTAGCTTACTATGTGTGTATTTTTTTATTTTGTTGTCTCTCTCCACTGGAATGTCAGCTCTCTGGTGGCAAAGGCTTTGAGTGATTAACTGCAGTGTCCCCAGCACTAGAATAATACCTGGCCCTTAATAGCCAATAAATATTTTTTGAATGGATTTTGGATGAGTGTGATACAGAACAGTTCCAAGGCCTGAAGTGCTCTTTTCTGGATTTCTTAATTTAAGCTTGCTAAAAACTAGTTTTGCTTCATTAATGTCATTAAAGAGGAGATTCTAGAGTCAGTGGATAAAGATTTATTGCACAGGCAATGGGGTGCACTGTGCTGTGGTGTGAATGTGGCACGCCAATGTAGCAGGCTTCCAGGCTGTCCTGCTAAGAGGAGGCATGGCAGTGAACATCTGTAGGTCTCTGGGGAAGCAGAGGAAGCCCACTCGCATTTTGGAATAAAGCCTGTGAAAGCTCTTTGAAATGTTAAAGGTGGTATGCAAATCTAAGTAATAATTATTATTAAGGAAGGTTCAGCTACACCACATCAATGGGGAACCTTTAAAAAGGCCCTTTGCTAATTATGAGGGAAGTGTTTCTATCACAGTTTTATTCTTTGAAGAGACAGAACTGCTTTTGTTGCAACCCTCATGGGCTTTTCTTTATCAGCACCGTTCTTAACCAGTATGATGCATTCTGTTGCTCTTCTTCTGAGGCCCCTTACATTATATTTACACTACTTGGAAAACTGAACAATAAGAAAATTGGTATATTACAGTAAGCCGTAGGTTACTTTATTAAGCCCTAAAAAGTGGTTCTCCAAAATTGAAGTTAGGTTAATTATTGCACGTACACACTCATACATATTTTGGTATATCTACGTCAGTTAAATATCTTGCTCTCTGGAACTTTTTTTCTTTTTTCTTTTTCTCTTTTTCTTTTTTGTAGCAACACTGTAATAATTGGGAACAGAAAGGGGATTTTTGCAAGGGGATTTCCTTGGCTGGAATTTAGCCAAGAAAACAAAGATAACATAGAGAATAACTACCTCATTCCCCAAGGATCATGGGACATTTTATAAACCTGCTTAACCAAACTCACATGTGTAAGGCTTGGTGTTAAATTATAGGCCACTAATTTCTTTTAGGGTAGTGCTTCTTCCCCTTCAATAGGTCAGGGCCCCCTGAGAATCTGACCAAGAAAGGGAAAAATAAACCACTGTAACTCTTCGGGAAAATCTATAAACACACTGTACACAAATTCATAGGCCCCCTGAAACCATTTATAAATTGTTATTTTAGTTGAAATAAAGTAATAAATGGATAATAATAGCTAATCTTTACAAGAACCCACCCACCCAATGAGATAAGAACATTAATTCTCCTACTTTGCCGAAGTGCACACTGAAGCGCAGGGAGGCTGAGTAACAGTTGGGCAACAGTGAAGCCAGTACCTGGACCAGACTGTCAACCCTCTAATTCGTTCACGTAACCATCATGGTATACTGCATCGAGACTGTACATCTGCTAGGGACTGAAGCTAAGTCTGAATCTAGATCACTCTTCAAAACTAGCTTCTTATTAAACATAGAATTACTACATGATCCAGCAATTTCATTTCTGGATATCTACCCCCCAAAACTGAAAGCAGGGACTCAAGCAAATATCTGTACATCAGTGTTCACAGTAGCATCATTCACAATAACCAAAAGGTAGAAACAACCCAAATGTCCACCAACAGGTGAGTGGATAAACAAAATTCTGTATATATATATATACAATGGAGCAGTACTTGGTCTTCAAAAGGAAGGAAATTCTGACTCATGCTACAACATGAATGAAACTTGAGGACATTATACTGACTGAAATAACAAGGCAGATGCAAAAAGACAAATATTGTACGTTCACACTTATCTGAGACACCTAGAATAGTCAAATTCATAGACAGAAAGTAAAACAGAGGTTACCTGGGGCTGAGAGAAAGGAGAATGGAGAGTTATGGTTTAAAGGGCACAGAGTTTCAGTATGGGATGAAGAAAGAGTTCTGAAGATGGTAGTGGTGATGAATGTACAACAATGTGAATGTACTTAATGCCACTTAATTGTACACTTAGAAATATGTTAAAATTTTATGTGTATTTTACCATACACACACGAAAAGAATAACAATCTAAGCCTGAGTATAAAAGAATAGTGATACGGAAAGAATTAGCCTCTCAGATCCTGGAGTACTATACCCTTAAAAATGGTTAGAATGGTCAATTTTATGTTATACATATTTAACAGAATTTTTTTTAAAAAAAATATAACCTCTTTCCAAAACCATACTGCCCTCTTGGGAAAGAAAGTCAAACCATACCCCAAATTGAGGCTCTCATGTAGGCTTATAATAGACTCATTTTTATCCTCTTAAGCTGCTTATTTTAATCCCATTATGTATATATATAGATACTATATTTTTCTTTTGCAAATGAATTTACATCATTTTACTTAGCAGGA